ATATCATATATAATAATTCAACTAAAATTAGTAATAGTAGTATTTTTAGTAGTGTTGGCTTACAAAGATTACATTTGCAATTGTAAACATAATTATATAAGTTAACAACAAATAAATTTATGCCAAAATAAAATAATAATAATAATAAAAGCAGGCCGATGACATCGCTGTCAACGTAGCTGCCGCTAAAGCCACAGCTTGTTAGGGATAGATTTGATTTAAGTAAATCAGTTGCTAATTGGAGTCAAAAGAATAAACATCAATAAAGATCAAACTTCGAATGCAAATCCAATTATTATATTTTTTTTTTATCAATTTTAATTAATGATAATTTAACTTGTATGTACATATGTATATACTATATGTATATTGTTTATATGTATGTATGTATATATATATATGTATGTAGGCATTGCAATAATATAAAAAACAAAAACATTTTGAACAATATGATCATTACATCATGACGCATCACGATCATTGATAATTATTATCATAACGAGTTCCACTATGATAATGATCATTTATAATTAATACTATAATTAATTAATACTATAATTAATTAATAAAATAATTACAAATTTTTAAAAGAAAGGGATAAACATATTAAGAACAATTACCCCAAGCGTTTCACGGAAATGCGACTGAGCGCCAGAAGATCACGAGATCGACTGACGAATCTCCACAGCAGGCTAGGCTTTATATAGAGGGAGACTGAAGTCACTCAAATCGGAGTCGCTTAATCTATAGTCTCTTTGTTTATTTCTATGAAGGAGTATTATTTTTAGTTTTAGCATTGGTAAGAAAATATTACTTATGATTTGCAGTTAGACAATAATGTATTACATATAATATATAATCCTGTACAATATGGCTGTATGTCTGCCTAACTTAACTAACATATCTTAATGCTTACTTCAATTTATAAATTAAAACAAGAGAATAAGAGTGCTCTAGTCGAGACTACTCGACAAGGAGATACCCTGAATGCTGCCGCAGCCATGTTTGACAATTTCCTTTACATGATGTTGAATTCTTTCCCCAGGTCTGCACCAGCAATATTAATTTCCATATGATTGGAAACGGTTGAATTTTAATTCATCTGACCAGACAACTCGTTTCCAATCATCAATGCTCCAGTTTTTGTGATCCCTTGCAAATTTCAAACGCGCCTTCACATTTTTTTCGGACAATGCAGGTTTG